ATCCCGTGGCGCAGAAGTCACAGGCAGCCGCTCTCTCGTGTCCTATTAAAATCCGTCAAACACGCCTCGCGGGCAATTAAAGCTGTGGTGGCCAGCCGCGTCATATAAATCAGGGATCAATAAATTAGCGGACGGTTAAAGCTCGGGGGTTGTGACTTTATCTGTGCGGTGGCATCGCGGCGCGTTGCATCGCGCGCGGCCCGGCCCGACTCGACCCGACTGGGGAGGCAGAAGCGGAAGCTGGCCCCAATAAAACACTTGCCACCCGGCGCTCTTACGTTTACGTCTGCGTTTGCGCCCGCTTCTCCGTTCTCTAATCTGCATTTTAAATGTCGACGCCCCTACGTGGCGTATAGATAACGCCGGGACTGAAATCCACCGCCGCCGCCGCCATCCTTTCCACCCCCGCCGACGAGTAACTTCTCTTTCTCTCTATCTTGCTCTTTTCATCTCTCTCTCTCTCTCTCTCTCTCTCTCTCTCTTTCTCGTCAGTAGTCCCTTCGTCCTCGGATTCACCGGATGCGTTGCCACCGGATACCTCGCGAGTACATTTTCGCGCACGCCGCGGAGATAAAAGTACCTGCCAGGATGAGCTACGGAGATCCCATCCGTGTACCGCTATACTGAGAGCCTGTCCACGAGCATTCGCCAGACGACTTCATTGTTCACCATACTTTTCGGAGTTCCGCCTTTCCGTGCGGGCGATATCGGCCCAGTCTGTAGCAAATTCTTTTTGTTTTAAGGATAACGAACTGTGCAGCAGCGTTCCTTGTTCGCATGAAAGCTGGTTTATGGATCGTTTAAAGTTTTTTTTATGGCGTGACTGAGAGAGAGAGAGAGAGAGAGAGAGAGAGAGAGAGAGAGCTTTAATATTTATTTTAATATTTGTTTTTTATTGCATAAAAATCAGGATGAGAAATGCTGAAGAAGGTAATTATGAATACTATTTAATGGAGTATAAAAAATGTGTCAAGAATATGTGAAAAAGAATTTAAAAGATAAAACATTTTAAGACCTAGTAATATCTTTTATACCAATGTTTCAGTAGTCGTATTAAAAAAGACCCTGTCTCGGATAGTCAGAAGATTTCAAGATCGAATCCTGAATGAGATAATATTTTTTGTAATAAATTCTTTACAAGATTTTAAAATGCTAATAGCATTATTATCATAGGTGATCAATTTAATTATGATATTATTTCATCTTTAATTTATGATTGTATTCCAAGTTCAACAATAAGCGGCGTACAGTTTATATAACTGAAAGATATTTGATAAATTTAAAATTTACATATAAAAATACTATAATTAAACACCAAGATTTAACCGTATTGACATCCTTTCCTTATTTCATCTTTTAAATATTCTTGTACTTCTTACTTGTGTATCTATCTAGAGAATTTCTTGAAGTTTATGATGCGTATCTTAAGGAGAAGTTTTCAACAACTTCTGTCTTGCCTCCGTAAAAATATCTTCCTTCTGCGTACGACGCCCCGTGTTAAGTATAGATGCTCGAGAGATCACCCGGCATCTGTACTGGTGTGGAGATCAGCGGAAATGAGGCGTCGCGGTTTCGCCGACGACATAAATCCCATCGTCACTGGCTCGAGCCGAAGAAACGCTCGATTTTACGGCTCCGTCGAATTCAATGGAACAAGAGTTACGACGTACCGAATGCTTCGCAAGAGGGAGCGATATCATAGCAGCGCGCAAGGGGAAATGAATCAGGGGCGACCAGCCCGTTGGCCAAATGATCAAATATGATCGTTCGAAGTGGAAGCTCTTTACTGTTTTTTCTTCCCCTCGGTCGTGCATTAGTTATTCGTGTCAGTTTCGTAAACGCGGAAAGAAGAAAAGAATATTTTAGTTACTAATGAAAGTTTTCCAAAATTTGAAGATAACTATTCTCTTCATGAGATAATTATTTTTATTTATTTTTTTTTCATCAGATTTAAAAGCACGTTTCATAACGAGAAAATTTGTTTTTATAAATTAAAAATGTATTTGTTGCTTGAAAATTTTTTTAAAGAAATAAATATAAGTATTCTCTTTCAAGTTTTGTAATGCACCTTCAGACAAAAGAATGCAGAGAAGAAAGACGTCTACATAAACATACAAATCGTTCATATGCGAAGAATACAAATGCGATGGAGAGGAGAGACGAGAGATGATGCCGGTGGGCTGCCACTCCCGAGAAAAGTGCTAGTAAAGTCAAAGGGACAACGTCACATCCTTTCTGGTGGGGTATTTCTCTCTAGCTTCCCCTATGGTGACTTATGCAGACCCCGTCATCATACGCACAAACAATAGCTTTTCGCGAGCGACTGCGTGAGTCGTGAAAAAGTGAGACAGCCGTACGGAAGAACTCTTTGTCTTTGGGGTACATTGGGGGTACTTTCGAGGGGACCAGTCCGAAGGAGAAAGATCTACGCTTCGCCAGCCATTCTTCCTTCGCTTACTAAGAACGAACGCGGGCCTTTTGTTTTACCTTCAAGGAAAAAATATTACTTGGAGAGAAACTTTAACTGTAGAAATTACGATCTGTCATTTGACTGCGCCTTTTTTACCTTCGTTAAAAACATTACAAGGTTTTTCAATATTAGAGTACCTAAATAATATTATTGTAAACATTTCTCCTATATATTATATAATTTCTCCCTCTCTTTTCGCTGTGAAGTTTAATTTTAAATCATTTGTTATTACACACTATCTGGAATTGCATTTTCCATTATTTCAAAGCAAGAACTCCGAGCGAGCGCTAACAATAAGATGTGGCGCCATACAACGACACGCATCAAACGCTCACAGTCTTTCGCTGTTCCATTCTCTCACCTAGTTGTAAACCAACAAAGCTCTGAGCAACACAATAGCGCCGCCTCACACCGAGGCACTTACATGGCAGACTAGAACAAAGTAGCGTGACACTTCCAGTAACAGAAGCGTCATCGGACAGAGATACGTCGGAATGTCGGCGTGCTGGCGCACTGTCTATCTGTCCTCGGCAGACAATACGAGATCCGAGGACAGACGTGGCCGAACCGCGCCCCTTTCATGTACCGCTGATTGATACCCTTGGTCCTGTCCAACGTGGGGATGCGACGGTAATGTCGCCCTCGTTGCCAGTCTCGCGTACGGTCACATTATCAACGCCAAGTCCTAGGTATACCGATTAACCGAGCGTCCGATGCTCGACATTGCCGAAAATGTCGAATCGCGCGGCTGCCGTTTTCACGTGTGCTGAACGTGAATAGACGTTCGCAAATAGATGCTCGCCAAAGCAAAGAAAGAGATCTCGTAATCAGAGTCACGAAATAACATCGAGGTTGGGTCGGAGTGATGCTATTTTTCAATAAAAAGTATGACTATGATAGTACACACAGTCGTATTATATTTAAATAGTACGATTGTGATAGTGTATATTGCATCTTTTGCTGAAAAATAGTGGCACTAATCAATTTTGGGGATGTTATTTCGTAAGGGCGAAAAGACGTGTTATTATCATAGATATCGCATGAATCGCATTTTGTCATGTCGTATATTATCGAATCAATGCACATAGCAAATTATATTCTACTTTATTAATACAGAAAAAATTATTTTAACTAGCAAATTTTAATACACGTGCGTACTTTGAGAAAAGTGACTATAATTGCATCATAAAATAATTTAGGGGATGGATGGAATTAAGATCTAATTACAAAATAATTATACAAAAAATATATTTGACATCGAAAATGATTATAAATGATTATATGGTAATTGCAATTATTTCTACCTTTTAGTACATTATCGCATAGTCTTTACAATGTCTTTTATCTTGGCACATTCTCTTAACATATAATGATTTTTCTGAAAATATGGAATCTTGAAAGGCCACTTTTTTATCGTACACGATAGAACGTTCGCGATATGGCACGTGGTATCTTTATTTTATGCCCGTAACCCGTAACTGCGCACCAACTTGACCAGGACACATTGAAGCGTGGTAGCACTATTTCCGCCTGTCGTCGGGCGACGATCGGTATTGCCGCGCTTCCGGCTTAAACTTGTGATAAACGTCATTCCCTTCGCATCGAACTAACGCGAGCGGCAACATTTCAAAGGGCTTTTCCCGGTGGCGGCAAAAGGGCGGACCCGCACGGATATGCCGTTGCGGAGTTATCCGTCGCATCCGTCGCTTCTTGTTAGAGTGACATTCGCGAGAGACGATCAAAGGCGACATTCCTCGCAGACAAGAATCTGCGGAATTGCTTTCCGGACGCAAGCCGGCAAGCCATGCGTGACGATTCGGTGAGGAAATTAGCGGGTCGTTGCCTACGCGGCTCCTTGTCATCGGCGTCGCGTCGCCGTCGTGCCGCGGGCATCGCCTGAATTCGCGTGAGTGCCGTTTTAATCATGCACAAAGCACCGTTTATAACGCGAATTATACCGCGGAAAGATTTATCGGTCTACATATATACACGTTAGCATGACGCGGATAACACAGGCAGCTCTGTTTACGTCTTTATTTGCTCGCGAATCTAAGAATTTACGCGAATTTTATATAACACTGTAGATTTCTATCATGATGTGCAAATTTTATTTAGGTCATTTATACACATATCTTATAATATATCTTATTTTTTTTAATGTAAATATCAATGGCATAATATTATTTGATGTAATATAAAATTTGATTTTCTAATTATTTTTATAGATCTCATTATTGAATCTGATTTAAAAAATTTTAGCAATTACTTTATAAAGATTTTAGTATTTTAATAAAATTACTGTCACTGAAATTCGTATAAAAGAAGTCGAATTTTTTCCTAAAATATAATAAAAACTTAACAAAATTATTTCTGTCAAATTATGTTATTGCGTTATATTATCTGGATTGATTGTTAAATGTATAATTTTATATAATATTGTATGAGATTGTAAAAGTATACATTCTAAATATACATACGATACTTTTATCACTTTGATTTCAATATAACTTTTGACATATTGTAATTTCAATTAATCACAAAAGGATTTTGCATATCGTGAAAAATTGCAGATTAACAAACAAATCAAATAACCGCGAATATTGATGTCTTTTTACGTAGCTTTCATAACTTGCGATATATACTGTCGAAGATAAATTATTCTGTTTACATCTACTATTTCTCCGTTATTCGCAATTTTCCCAATATCGGCGTAAGCGTTTTCAGTTGTGTAAACTTCGGGTAACATGTAATGGTTATTCAACTGCTTCAATAATTTGATGATTGCCAACGCTGTAATCTGTGTGATTAAAATATAATTGTGAGACATATATATCTTCATGTGTAATACATAACATATGATCTTATATTCTATGATATCATAATTTTTTATGCATGATTTGTGCATATATATTCATTTTTGCTTCTTGAAACAAATGCAACATGTATTGTTTGAGAGGTATTTCTTCTGTCATACTTTTATGCGAATATTTCAATTTCTTTGTAAAAATTATTTCGAAGAAATTAACAAAACAGAGATAATTAAATTTTTCAAAATTTTTATATTCTGCTTCTTATAAGTTTGAAATAATCATCGCTTTTGCTGCAGAAAATTGGTTGAATAAGCTACTCAATGTACCATCCGAGTCCTGTTTTTAAATCATAAATGTTGGTTTATGAATATACGTTTCACAATTCTATTCATGTATACTGTATGAAATAAATTCCAATTTTTTCTATCTCCGATTACGAAAACATGCATTTTTAATAAAAATGTTTGAACAAACTGCAAGAAAAAATTTCGAAGAATACAGCTTGTAGAATAAAATACTATTATACGTTAATGATGCATATCATTTTGTAACTGGTTAAAATTTTCATTATACACGTTACACACTTTCGTGTACGCTAATAGCGCATGATAACCGCAATGATAATCTGTAATGCCAAATTGATTAATTGTCGCTGTACGCATATTGCGGTCAGCATATGCCATCAAATTCGCCTCGTTTATGGTAACCCAACATTTCACCTAAAAGCAGCATCAGAATAAGAGCATAGATATATCTCTTTTCAAAAGTTATAGAATTTTATAATTACTTATAAAATTTTAGATGTCATCTTTTTCTTTTATCTTTTTTTCTTTTTTTTCTTCCTCGAACTTGTAAACGAAATTATACATTTGTAAATATGAATTTTTGAGAAACGTACAATCAAATTTTCTTTTTTCTATCTATGTCCCGTATCCGAAGGATTTAAATATTATTTTGAATTCTTAACGTAGATAATTCTGAAATTGTTCCGCTAGCATAAAATTGGTACATTCATCCAAAAATTATAAATTGAGCGGTAAATCCCAGTCAAATGAGGTAATTGTATGAGTGTCACATCATTCGTTATAATTTCATTAATAACATCGTTATAGTGTCGTATAGCATCTTCGTTAACGAAGTTTCTGAAGCCGTGCAGCAAAATTCTTACCCATGACAAGGACATCTTAAACATTTTAGTCTGCAAATGAGCAAACTTCTTAGACGACATCACACGAAGAAGAGCATCGTTATATTACAATATTCTCGCATCAACAGTATACTTATACTAATGCTTTTTAAAAGCAGAATATCCTCCTTATAATATTGGAGCCATATTAACAGTTTTGTAAATTATTATAGGATGTATAATTTTTCGTGTATTATACAGTGCAATTTCTTGTATAAAAAAACGTATTTATCTTATTTTTTCATTAAATTATGCGTTTTACGATAAGACAAATAATAAAGACATTTATAGTACTTAAAAGTAAAAAAAATTTATTTTATAAAATATGCAATTTAGAAAAATAGACCATATAGATTTATAGATAATTAAATATTCCTGAATTCTACTTAGAAATAATATATTTTTATTTATTTTAATGTTGATTTCTAATAATATACAAAGACAATATGTCGTAGTACAACTAAACATTGTAAAAGATATATAAATATATACAAATTTCTACTTAATAAATATATAACTAAGTTTATAAAAACAAATATTCTGTTTAAAGGTAATTTATATATGTATATGTATATAGAATATAAAGATTATAATTAATATATACATATATATATAATTAACTTTTAGTTATTTAAATTGGTAATATAAAGCAATATTTTCATAATACGCTTTTAAAATAATTATAATCAATAAATTAAAATGTTAATTCAAATAGTTAAAATTCTTCTTTTACATACATGAATGAATCTTTCTTGCTTACTTCGAAAAGAAATAGAAAAAACAATAGCGCTGGAAAGCATTAAGAGATATTCAAAACACGCAAAGAGGATCTAGATGCTTCTTGCCCAATGTAGATCCTCTTTGTATTTATGATAAAAATCATTCGCTACAATCCACGTTATTCTCATCCCGTATTAGTCTCGAATTCGCATGAGTCATATAATCCTATCCTGTATCTATAGATTGTTTTCAGACGATGTATGTAAGGATCAAATATAACTTTGATATTTTAATAATACGATGAAGTATAAAAATTATATTAAAATATACATATATATTATATAAATAAAATGATTATAAATAATAGGTATTGTCTCACCAAATTTACATTATTTATTATTTTATGTTGCATTAATTAGGCTTTATTAAGACAAATATAATAAAAATAAAATAAAGAATATATGTATGTATATATGTATATTATTATAATCTAAAAATTGTAATATCATAATATTGGTTAAACGTTTTAGAAATATTTCTTAGCACTATCTGATATATTTAGGATATCGGTAATATTTCGAATAATTTGTGTTTTATACACCTTTAAATATAATATTAAAAGATATTTTTA